TTTCATACCTATGTTATAGATAGCACTAATTCCAAACATTTTTTATTATTGATAGCAATTCTAATTATTTAGGCTGTTGGAAAAATTTTATTTAATGTCAAAAGTAATATATTAAAATATTTGATGGATTTTCCAGGTAATTCCTTTCTACATTTGCTGCATTGATTTCCTTTCTTTTGTCCATCCCCCTCTCACATCATCTCCCCATATTAGAGTTTTCTTATTTGAGAGAAACAAGTTTCGGACATCACCATCTGGATTTCAATTTTTGAAGTTTAATTAAATACAAGAACGTAAACCTCTTTGCTTGTTCATCTGAAGCTAGCTAGAGTGTGGGAGTTTTCTTGTCTATAAGGGTTAGAGAGCACAAAAATTCAAATTTCTTTACTCTAAACAGTTGGTACTAACGTTCAGCTAACTTTCAATATACATTATTTATGACATTCTCAGTTTCTTTCAGGAGATTTTAGAAATTAATATTATGCATCCCATCTTTCCATCATGTTATATTATGACAAATTAATTTCCATGAAAAGTGATACAAGGAAAAATATAATTTTGTTGAGATGTGAAATAAATTATGTAATAAATTTGAGAGACAAAATACTTTGAGAAACCCATCAATAATTCAGTTTCAATAATGCTAAAACAGTGTCTAAATATAGTTCATCATAAATTTTGTTGTTTAAATTTATAGAGGTTTTTGCTTTTTTTAGGGCCAAACAACATTTCCTAAAATTTGAGTGTTGATCAGAAGGATATAAGGATTTAAGCAACTATTAATCAGTATCTCCCAGACACTTCTATATAGTTCCTATTGAATGTCAATCTGAAATCAGTTCTCTAATAACCGAAGTAATATGTCCATTGGTCTGCTATACTAAAAAGTCATAGACAGAAATATAATTGAATATGCATTATTTCCTTTGGCATTTATGAAAGTTTTGCACAATTCCTTAAAGAATGAGAGAAAAAAATCAAGCAATCTTTGATATACAATGTAAATAACTACCAAAAGAAATCACAAGGCCTGTTCTTATTTATTTTTGTTTTAAAAATATTTTAAGTATGCAAAGGTATTTCTTATTTGTACCTTAACCTTAGTTATTCATAAACACCCACTGCCTAAACAAGAAATAGGATTTATTTATGAATTTTATTCTTTGTTGTTAGAAAAAAGAAATATGAAATTTGTAATACAAAGGAAGAAAGAAACACAGATACTTAATTAACCTGAAATAGGATGACACCCACATAAAAATATTTTTATAACCTGATATAAATATTAAAAACAAGGAATAATGAGTATTACTAAACTATATATACCATGTAATATAAAATGCTCAAAGACATAAAATCATTTTAATTATTTATATTTTTCTGAAAGGCACTCACACATCACTTTTTCTTATTCAGACAGATACACATAAATAATGCCATTATTCACTATTTTTTACCTTATTACCCACATTGATGCTCTATTATATCAGCCTCAAGAAAAATAAGTAAGCCAAGTGCAATAAATGTTAAAAAAAAAAAAAAAGCATAGACAATGCTACTTACTGACACATAGGACCACTTTTCTCCACCACACAAGTCCCACCATTTCTGCAATAAGCTATTGGACACTCTAAAAAAAAGCACCACAAAATACCAATGTTAATTATAAATATTACCAGAGGCCCATTGCACGAAATTTGTGTACTCGGGGGGAGGGTCCCTCCGCCCAGATTGTGAGAGGGCGCAGGCCAGGCCAAGGGACCCCACAGGTGCATAATCAGGGCCTAGGAGGGATACGGGTGGTTGGCCAGCCAGGGAGGGACAGCAGGAGGGCTCCAGGGCATGTCTGGCCTGTCTCACTCTGTCCTAATCAGCTGGACCCCAGCAGCAAGCTAACCTACCAATCAGAGCATCTGCCCCCTAGTGGTCAGTGCATGTCATTCGAGCAATTGAGTGGCCTTAGCATATCATTAGCATATTATGCTTTGATTGATTGAACGGACGACCAGATGACCAGACACTTAGCATATTAGGCTTTTATTATGTAGGATTAGCAAGATAATGGTCATATCACTGTTAGTCATTGCATTAAATGTAATCATCTACATATATAAAAGCCTAAGCGACTTTTCCACTGGTAGCTATGACATGCACTGACCACCAGGGGGCAGATGCTCCAACCGGTAGGTTAGCTTGCTGCTGGGGTCCAGCCAATCAGGACTGGATGAGATGGCTGTACATGTCCTGGAGCCCTCCAGCAGTCCCTCCCCAGCCCCAATAGTGCACCAGTGGGGTCCCTCAGCCCCCACTGGACTTCTAGTTTAAAATAAATTGCTTCCTAGTTACTAGAAGCACATGAATTCTCCTAGGCTTCTTTCCTGTAGCCCTAAACTTATTCTGTGGCCCCTACTTCCTGGGATGTGTTCATTCTCTTCACATGCCTGAGGGGTGGACCAGATAAGTAGACTTCTCACCTGGGTTAGGAAATGTGATTTGCTTTTCCAAGGATATATTCACCATCTTGCCTATGCTTACTCCTCCCTGTTTAACTAATTTCAATAAGGAGCAAGGTGCTGAAGACAAGAATAAAGAGCTTTACACCTCAGGCACCAGGGGCATGCTCAACTGAATAGAACAGATGCAAAATTTCCTTCATAAACAAGAAATTAGCTGGTTTGATTAAAAATAGCCAACCAATATGGTGAAGCATATGTAGATACAATCCTTGTTAGATAAACCAGTTTATGGTTATTTTTGGTCTTAAGTACAATTATAGTATTCCTTAAATAAGAGGTTTGTTTTACTAAAACACCAGTCAAGTGTCTGATACTTGCAAAGTAAAATACACACAGATGCACATTTTTTTCTAGGGTTATTAATAATTACTTTGATTGTAGTGAGTAACATATACATCAGAATGATTCTGTGAGAATCTAGATAGGTACTCCCTTGCACTGAATAATGGAGCACCTTGTAAAGCAGAGTGGTATTGGTCAGAACAAGAAGTGAATCCTGGTATTGTGGAGGACAGAAGATTTATAGATTATCTCTAATGAGTTCTTATAAGTTTTTGTCTTTGAGCCAGATTCTTTATTCATAAAATGGAAAGACAGTACACAGTATTAGCATCTTCAATCTACTCAAAACAGTTTAGAGAAGAGGGTAGATGAAATGGAGAAGGGCATGGGTATGAACAGTTAGTAATGAAAAGACTAAATATATCTCCAGTAGCGAAGTAGATAGTTCCCAAGATTGGAACTAGGAATCTATGGGGTTGTTTTTAGAATTAGTGCAGGTTTCCAGGCTCTGTAGCCACACTGATATCTCACTGCCTTATACTCCTTTGTATTGGTTATTATGACATGTGTCTGGAGGTCCATACAACTCATGTCTGACTTTATAGAACAATCATTCTTTGAAAACTTCAAGTTCAATCCCAATGTGGTGTATCACTTTGGAAAAACAGGAACACCTATAAAATGGGCAAGTGATCAATTTAAAAACAAAAGTAACTTTTAAGCTTAAATATAAATAATTTGCAACTAGGCACCTTTCTTTGTTGTTGCTATTGTTTCTCTCAATGTGTATAGAGACTAAGGGAGTGACAGCTATTACTAGGTGGATTGTTGGGAAGACATAATCATGTGAGTCTTGGTTTTCCCTCCCTGATAACTACTCAGTTAATAAGCTGTGTGACCTTGGGCTAGGTATTTTAGTTATAAAGTTCTTCATGTTTAAAGTGAGGATTATTTCACCTTCCTTATGGGGCTGCTGGAAGGATAAATTAAATTTATAACATTTCTATACTAGTCAATGGTATACATAAGTATTAAAATAATTGTTGTGATGCATCCTTCTATTTTGGGGCGTTCTTTGAATGTGCCCTGAAATCTAATTCTCATTACCAGTGCACTCACTCTCCATCTTCTCATCTTTCTTTTCTTCCCAGCCATTTACTGCAGACCTGCTCTGTCATAATCTGTCCTACAAATTTTACCGGTATTACCTCATTTAATCCTCATAACATTATGTGGTACATCCCATACTTATCCTTTCTTACAGAGGACACTGGTTAATGATGTAATGCTCAAGTTAACAGCAAGGAAGCAGCAGGTATTGAACTAAATTCTGGTCCTCTCACTCCAAAGCCTGTCAATTTAAAAATGTCAAATGACCCATTATTCAGTTCAGAATTTCTATAACCCCTTGCAGTTCTTGGCATTATGGGATCATAAACCCCTTTCAATCATGTTGTCTTTATGCAGTGCCGTGGGTTAAATAGCCGTGTACACAATAAACAGCAGCGCGGCTTTAGGAGCTGTCTGGATTTTAAGAGTCCACCAGAAAGCTTGTGCAGCAAACCAAGTTCCCAGTTGGCACAGACTGTCCTCTTTATCTTAAAATCCCAGCACAGAGCCTGCAGAAAAGATTAACTGCTGCTAAGAAACTTGAAATAGCTTCACAGTACCTACATGAGAAGTTTTTGTTTTGTTTTCATTTGGTTTTAAAAAACCGTCTGAAATGTTATTTTGCTATATTATTATTAGCAGTAGCATTTTATTATTCATATATTAAATTACATTCATAATATTTCATCCTGTAAATTTAAATTTTAGTGTCTTTTCCTAATTCTCCTTCAAATAGCTGATTATGATAATTACAGTATCACCATTGCATAACCTTAATTAACCTCTACTACTGCAAATGACTGGAAAAAGACTTTCAACTTAAAATTAGGCCGGACAAATTCTGTTCAAAGATTTTCTATTGCATAAACAGCCAAACTTGAAAATAGTATGTCTTTCTATTGAAATTTGGGAATAGGACTCATAGAAAAAACTTAACCTGCAATACCCATACATTGCCTGAGCTTGATGTTCTTATTAATGATTTAAACTTTGAGGTGAAAGCAGACCAACTGCTCACCATCTGTTGTTTGTCTACTGGGAGAAGTAGTGGATGCTGTAAGGTTTGGCATAAAAGTCTGTGAAATGCTGACCTTACAGGAATATGATGCTTGAAAGAAACAGGAAGGTTAAATGTGCACTGACACATCTTTGCATGGATTAGGCATTCTTCAAAATGGAAGCATTGACTTTATTATATTTGACTGACAAACTAAAAAGCAAATAAAATATAAATAGAGAACACATAATATAACATGGATTTTATCTCTGAAAACTTTTCCACTAGTTCTTTATTTTACTTTAACCCCAAAGCTGTGGCAATGTGACCTATATGTGTAAATGAACTATAAATGAATTGGTAAGTGATTAAAATATATGGGGCAACAAAAATGTATTATTATCTATAGGGTGTCTGTCACTCAGTATGAATGGCAGGTCTTCTGTATTTCTGATCATATTTTTACAGGTAGAACATGTCAAAGCAAACAATAAACCATGGCATGTTATAATATATTTGTTCTCATATAAAATTATACTAAAGAAAATCTCACCTTTATTTAAATAAATTTGGGTATTGGACTTAAGTACTGTGTCTTAATAGTTTCAAAGAATGGAACTACCTCATTAATATATTTCTAACTATCTGAAAAGAGAGCAAGAAGATTTACTTGTGGGTGTCTAATCTGATGTATGTGAATGCCTAGTAGAGAAATAATGCTGGAAAGCATTTATCTTTGCATATTTTATGGCACCAGATTTGCTCAATTCTTGATTTCCTTTTGTATTCATAAAATTCAGTGTTGTGTGAGTATTCATTTTCAGCAGCATAAAAAAAGATGTTATATACTATGATTTGAATATAATTACCATGCAGTTTTCACTTATAATGTTCTTCTTTCTTGAAAGATACAAAGAATAGTCTTACAAAGAATATAGTTTTGACATGAAATATCTGCAATTTATTTAGAAAATACGATCAAATACACCTTTTATCACCAATTCATATTATCTTTTAGTTGTGACAGATTTATATTGCCCCTATTATTTTATACTAGAGGCCCGGTGCACAAAAATTTGTGCACTCAGGGAGTCCATCAGCCCGGCCTGTGCCCTCTGGCAGCCTGGGAACCCTTGGGGGATGTCTACCTGCCAGCTTAGAAACAAGTTGGCAGTCAGACATCTCTCTGGCAGACCAGGGGGAGTGGGCCTAAGGCTCAGGAGGATATCTTTAGTGCTAGGGACATCCTGCCACCACCACTGTGTTGCTGTCAGCCTGGCTTGTGACTGAGTGGAGCTCCCCTTGTGGGAGCACACTGACCACCAGGGGGCAGCTCCTGCATTGAGCATCTGCCCCCTGTTGGCCAGTGCACGTCATAGCAACTGGTCGTTCCTGGTCATTCCACCATTAGGGTCAATTGCATATTACCCTTTTATTATATAGGATATCTCCTGCATGAAATAAAAATAGTCAGGAGGAATGCTAACAATGGGCTACAATAAATTAGAGCATATTAAAGCAGTTTTGATAAAAGTATAACCACAAATATATATTATCAGCTCTTATAACTGTTCCAAAGTAAGAAAAAAATGTTTAAAAGTCAGTCAAAAGTTTAATAAATTAACTTTTAGACATAAATAGATTATGCAAATAGGGAGCTCTTATGAAGAGGTGGAAGAAGACTACAAGTTTAAAAAATTAATAACATGTTAGATTGTGAAGGGTTTATTATGTAAACCAAGCAATTTTCATCAGATTATTAAATACTAATAATCTTAAATTATATTATAGTAAGTTAAAATTAAATATTTGACTTTTCTTTATTTTTAAACATTGTTTATATAGAATAAGAAAATTCATTATATTATGCTAGAGCCCCAGCACATGAAATCGTGTGAGACCCAGACTTGGTGCGCCGCAGGACCCAGCATCAAGTCCTGCCGGCACCGCAGGACCCATCAATGCGCCTCCTGGTGACGAGTCTTTGGTTGTTATGGCATAACGACCACTGGGTTTTTATTATATAGATATTTGTAATATTTATTTATTTATTTTTAAGATTTATTTTTTTATTGATTTTTAGAGATTGAGGAAAGGAGAGGGAGAGAGAGTAACATCAATGTGAGAACAATACATCGAACTGCTGCCTCCTGCATGTCCCTACCAGGGATTGAGTCCATAACCTGGGCATGCGCTCCAACTGAGGACTATACCGGCTGTCTCTTGGTGTATGAGATGATACCCAACCAACTGAGCCACATCGGCCAGAGCTACATTTGTAATATTTAAATGTCAACATTCTTCCTGCTCCAGACCAATAATAGAAATGCAGTTATTTCATTCTTGCTATTATTTAAACTTCAAGGTTTAATATTATCATTGTCTGCAGGTTAAGTTACTGTCTTAGATTGTAAAGAATATTTGAATGGAAATGGAGTACCTGAGCAGCTGGACTCATCAAGTTGGAAGTCCATGCAGTTGGCAAAACCATCACAGCGCTTGTGAACTGGGATACAGCTGTTAGAGGAAGTGCACAGCAGAGCTCCCTCAGAACAGCTGACATTGGCTGGAAAAAAAGAATCATCATCATCTTCTTTTAAAAAATAAATTTTTCTAATGAAATAATACAATTTATTGTATTATCCTTCATTTATTAGTTCTATATTTAAATTATATATTCAATGTAATAAGTTGAACATTTTTCAAAGTGTGTTGATGGAATCATTTCTCAGCATTACATTATGTGTAAAATGCATCATATGTACTATGTATTCTGAATTGATTTTAGACTAGAGGCAAATTTACATCAAAGAAGATCTCTGTTATTCCTCTAATGTCCCCAATATTATGTGCAACTGAACTGATAGGTATTGTACCTCGCTTGAATGTGCATCAATTTCCAACTGAGTTATAAGTTATGAGTAGTACTAGGTGCCCATTAGATCTGGGTGTTGATGTGGTCACTCAGCTCATTGTGCTATGACGGTGTGACCTTATAGCACTGTGTTAGTGCATGATGCAGGTATTTTGTAAATCCCAGAGTCTCTTATTAGCCTGACTTCAAGAAACAAGCATAAGTCTTATTCACAAAACTGATTTTTTTCAGAAAAATGTCTTTATTGATTCCTGTCAAGGGTACTGACAGTTTAATGGAGTCTAGTCCTGCAAATTACTGGATTTCCCTTGGATGCTCTCTTAGTCCTTAAACTGTAGTGTTGTGTTCCTCCCTTTTGTTCTCTAGTCTCTTTAGGATTGTGACTTCCTATAAAGCAGGAGGCTATGTTTTAGATTCCTTCTATGAGTTAGGGCTGACCCAGAACATTTCATTCTAGGCCATCATGTGTCTCTGTTCTCCTGATTACTTAAAAACCTAGAACCAGCAGGCCTGAGTTTCAGGCCTGATCTCTATTTTCTCTGGTTCTACCTCTGTTTTGTTCCATGCCAATATTTGATGTCTTCAAGGCCTTTTGTGTGATAGCTCTTCTCTCTAGCATTGCTGTGTTTGGAATAGAGGGAAAGTGTCAAAGCATGAACCCACTGCACCATCTTCTCAGAAATACAAGATAGGTTTAGAAAGCAATAAATAATAATGATATTGGCCTACACTGTTTCTCTAACCTGGTTCCTTTAAGTCATAGTGTTATGCAGAGGTAATGTGAAAGACAGAAATGATCAGCCAGGGCTTCTGGGGCTTACCCCAAGTTCAACAAAAATAGCTCTGCTTAATGATACGATATAATATCTTATTTGAACATTTCAATTCAAATCTGCTAACATTTTTAAAGGATTGGTCTGGGAAGTTACTTCTACTAGAATAAAGACAACTAAGTTCAAACTTCTCAAGCTAAATGGACAGTTTAGAAGACATGGGAATAGAGATCTCCAGGTATGGTTCTTGCACAGATTTTGTCAGTTATTTTAAAATATTTTATTTTCTTCAAACATATCTGTGGGCTGTTTAGAGTTATCATAGGATATTAGCACAGTTTATTTTGAGAACTGCCTATCAAAAATTTATTTTCAAGTTGGATATAAAAATGGTGTTTCTAAGAGTTTGTATTTTCATTGATCAAAATGCTGGCTCTGAACAATTAAAGTGACAGTCTTCATTCAGCAATTCTTCTTGAGGTGCTGGAACATCAATTCAACACCAATAAATATTATTAAGCTGTCACTACATGTAAGATACTAGGCTTAGCACTTAAAATGAAGAGTACAGGGGAGACATGTATATAAAGAGACATCAGAATGAATAAAGCAACAATAGCAAGATAACAATACAAGAGTGACCAGCAGTTCAAAACAATAATAAAAGATATGCCATAAGGTCAGATTTAGTTGGTAAAGTACTGGTATAGGTAAGCATTATAAAAGCAAGAGATTCCTTTGGTGTAGGGAGGTCTATAAAGACTGAAAGAAGAGTAGAGTCTTGAGATGTGTTTTAAATTTTAATGTTTCCAGAGAAAAGCCATTTAACAGAGTGGTAATCTATAGACAGAGAATCAATAAATTTGATAGTAGAACCATGAGTAAAGCAGTTTGCCTTTAACTGGGGAATTGTGTAAGAAGGTGGTACAAACAAACCTAAAAAACAAGGCTGAAACCAGTTTGTATAAATGGCTAAGGTCCCAAGGGAAAAGATAATCTTTAAGTTTTTCTAAAGGTTTAAAAGATTTTAGGATATACATTGACAAGATAAATCATATTGCAAACACATCAACTAGAAAACTGCATAATTTCCAACTCTTATAAGATCCAGAGATGTTTGCAAAATAATGTGTATGTTTATGAATGCATCTGTATATCCACATGTATGAGCATGTGTGTATATATACATATTTTTATTATCAATGCATTGCAAGGAGCTGAGAGATAATATAAGATGATAGTTTTAAGGTTTTAAATAATATAATATATTGAAATTTGTAAACAAAGATAATAGATACTACTCATCTACTTATAAAGCTTTATTTTTAATCCTTTTCTCAGAAATACGAATCCATCCATATTCCCTCACCCAATTTCCAGTGGGAATGATAGCTTATTTTCAAGCTGATTATACAATGAAGATCTCTAACTTATCAGTAATATAAATTCTCAATTATGACCCAAATAGCATTAAAAGACATAAAATATACCTCTATAAGAAAAAAAATTATAAAGGGTTTTCCTTTTTCCTTTTAATAGAGTTTTCAATTTAGACAGTTAAAAATGGACCTTTTACTTTATAAAATTGAAAACTAAAACCATAGTTTCTGTGGCATTTTAAATAGTATAGCATTAAAGTTAATGGATATTTATCAATTTCCTTTTAAATGTAGGTGGCAAATAAATTATGAATGCAATTAATATTTACTGACATATACAGCAAAGGGCATTGTACTAAATATAGGACAACAAATTGAACTATTGCTCTCTTTTTCTCTTCTATGATTAATATACATACAACAAAGAAAATTTCCAAAATTATTCCAAATAAGTTATATATAAAATTTATTACTTTTAACTTTATTTTTATTGTTGACATTATCACACATGTCCTCACACCCCTCCTCCCCAACTTTGTCTACCTCCACTTAGCCTCTGCCACCTCTTCTTTCTGGCCATGACTACACTGCTGTCTGTGTCTATGGGTTAGGCATATATATAAAATTTATAGAAAACTGAGATTTCAAAATGTTTCCCTTGACAATATCTACTTTTGCCACATTCGCATTAAAAAGTTATGTTTTAATATCTACAGGAATACTTATTTCAATCTGTTCTCATCCTAGATTATCTTTCTTACCTAAATGAACCAAGTAACACGGAGCATTGTGTGGCTTTTAGCACATTCACGCAGGTACTCAGGTAGATGATACATTAAAGATAAACAATTCATGAATATTTCATTGGCATTACTTCCCTAAAGCAAAATTCCTGTTATAAATTATAATTGCTGCATAAAAAATAAACCCTAAGTAAAGCATGTATGACTATGTGTATCCATTCAGTATTAAACTAAAAAGTCATGTATACAGACAATCAACATTTCTAACAGCAGAATAACCATGGTCCTTGGGCCTTGAAGATGAAGGCTGCAACCCCTCAAAGCACAAATAAACTTATCACAGAGCAGGGTGGACATGTACTTTATTCTGGAATTAAATCCAACCACTACTCTTATTGAAATATCTTAGCAGTTTAAATAATTTTAAATAAAATGATAAAAATCATTTAATGGGAAAAGGATAATAATTTATTTGTGTACTTATGTACTTTAGCATATTAATTCATTGAATCCTCCAATACCTCTGCAAAGAAGACTTAATCACCATCATTTTTATGTTGAATAAACTAAGGAACACATATGTAAGAAGGGGAGATGTCACATGATGAAGATGATCTTTATACTATTACTAGAGGCCCGGTGCACAAAAATTTGTGCACTCGTGGGGGGGGGGAAGGGGGGGCCCTCAGCCCGGCCTGAGGGCTGATTGAGTTGGGGCACCGCCCCCTGTCATGCACAGAGCAGGGCAGATTGGGAGGTTGTGATGCCACCCTCAGTCACGCTCAGGGGGGTGCCGATTGGGGGGTTGGGGCACCGCCCCCTGTCACACTCAAGGCAGGGTCGA